GAGATATATGGAATTGAATATATGGAAGTAAATTAAGGGATAAAAGAAAGATTTTTTTATTGTATAAGAATAATGATAAAAGAGATGAATTATATAAAACAAAAATTTCAGATTAATAACATAATATAAGTATTAAAAAGTAAATTATATATTATTTAATAGTTATTATTTTTTATTTAATTAAAACTCATAATATTTTTTATATATAAATTCATTTAACAATATAATTTATATTACAATATTAATCTAAATTTATCTCTAATTTTCATCTTCCATGTCACTTCTTATTGTAATCGAAAAAAAGACGGATAAAAAAGGAAAGAATAGGGAATTATCATGCTCTGATAGTAATAGGATTATTTTGTTCATTGCAACATTAGTGGGTAGGAATTATCCAAATATTTATTAGTGGAGTACGATTACACTACGTCAGTAGTCACAGTTCAACAGTGGGGACTCTTTGTTTCTTGAGAACAAAGTTACTAGAGTTCCCCTTTTTCAGAGTAATTTTTTGTTCTTTTCTCACAATTAAGGCCTTGCTTGATTAAACTTTTTTTATTTAAGTGATTGATTAAACTTAAACAATCATAGAAGTGGTGTGTGGATGAGCCTTTCAAGGAGAAGTTTAATAGGTTGTTTAGATTGGTAGAACATGAGGATGTTTTGGTAAAAAATATGGGAGAATGGAGGAATGGAGAATGGTTTTGGAAATGCAGTTGGCGTAGGGAGCTGCTAGGACGTGGAAGTGCCTTTTTGCAAGATCTACCAAACATGCCATAAGAGAGGTATTCAAGGCAAGAATTCAAACTGAAATATAAGGAAAGAATCCCAGAATAATCTCAATATGACCGTTGGTCACTCAATGTACTCTGCATCTTCTGCATTGAGTTTGATAGCAATGATTCCCAAAATTATGCCATAATGTAAGATGTTGTAAATATTATAAATAATGCAAATATTTCTTTCTCTCCTCACCTCGAGAGAAACTTTTACAGATCAAAGTGTCAAAACCTTTTTACTATGTCGGGCCCTCCTTGCCGACCTCTCCGCAAATAACCACAAAATGATGCGGACGGCCAACGGGTGGTTCTCTTTCTTCATGGCCGTCGGAAACGTTCGCGGCTACCCCGCCGGTTTCTACTTAAAATTCTACAAAATCTTCCCCTTTACTAAAACAAAAGCCTGCGATATCAACTGCGCGAATCTCAAATCATGCTTCGTAATCGACATTAGGATATTGTCCTAATGTTGATTACGAAGCAGGATTCGACATTCGCGCAGTTGATGTCGCAGGCTTTTGTTTTAGTGAAGGGAAGATTTTGTAGAATTTTGAGTAGAAACCGGCGGGGTAGCCGCGAACGTTTCCGATGGCCATGAAGAAAGAGAACCAACCGTTGGCCGTCCGCATCATTTTGTGGTTATTTGCGGAGAGATCGGCGAGGAGGGCCCGACGTAGGCCTTGGAACATGTTGTTGGCGACATCTAGAATCAAAAAGCCCACCACGAAAATGGCCACCGCTCTGGGGTTTAAGGATTTTCCAACGAATCATCCACGCGATGGCCAATGGTCTTTGGCAAAGACGATGAGGAAGACGGCCAAAATGAAAGTTACGGCGTCCGGCCTGAGCGTGAGTTGCAGCTGTCACTGTAGTAGCCTACAATGGGTTGCACGACAAGGCCGGCGAGGGGCCCACTGATGCAGATGAACGAAGCCCATGTGTGGGGAACCCCAAGGGTCTATACGTAAGGGGACAATGGGAAAAGTTGCAGAGCCCATCCGAACTAGCCACTGGCGGCTGCGGTGGCAACAGTGATAATCTTCCTAATGGAGCTTGAAGACTCAGCAGCAGCGGCAGCGGTAGCTCCGTTCTCCATATTGGTCACACTCTACCTGGCCAAAGCAAAGGTTTGTATTATAAATGTTATCCTTTAATTTGCTTTCGATTATTGTTCTTTATTTTCTTTCTTCATTCAAACATGAAGAATGTTAAGTCATTTTAAGAAGGAAAAGTTAAGAAGAACCCCCTTCTTCTTTCCTCCTTTGTATGAAAAAAATTCCATTTAGTAAAACTAAATTAAATGATATGAAATTCTTAATCTTGTTTAAAGCTATTACACAATACATTAACATAAAACAAATTTTCACTTGTTCATTTTTTTTTTAAATCAGTCATTCAGTAATAGAGTAGACACCAATTATCATCATATTATAATTTAGAAATTGCCAAGAAGATGAACTTTCTGATAATTTCGAAACTTTAATCTTTCACGAAGAAACGAAACAGTATTTGATAATATAATATTGATAATATAATATATCCATGGAAGATTAAAAGAATGTTAGTAAGGTAGCTTTGGATTGCATTGTTCATAGGAGGGGGAGAGGCATATGTAAATTATGACTTACCAGCTGTCGTTGAAGGAGCTCTCAGCAGCTTTAGTATTTGCAGAGTCTTGTTCTTGTTCTGCACACTATTATGGTTGGCCGTTGCAACTATCTCAATTTTCAAGCAACTTTGGTTTTTATGATACATATGAAGAGTTTTGGTGTTCAGGTATGACATATATATTAGTGGAGAGATGAGGAAAGAAGAGGATGATGGAAATAGAAAGATATTATCAGGAGATATATGGAATTGAACATTAGGAGGTAGCATAACAAAAGTTA